TAAAACTAGAACTAACACTATACCTAGAACTAGAATCATTCGGGTTTAGCCGTCTTTACAGACGTGCGGCTAAACCCAAATGATTCTAGTTCTAGGTATAGTATTAGTTCTACATAGATAACAGTGCTAGTGTAAAACTAGAACTAACACTAGACCTAGAACTACAAACATTCGGGTTTAGCCGTGCGTCTACTTTCTAGTTCTAGGTCTAGTGTTAGTTCTAGTTTTAACTGTAATTCAACGCTATATTGTTGTATATTTTTTATTAAACTAAAAGTAGAACTAACACATGACCTAGAACTACAATAATTCGGGTTTAGCCGTCTTGAGAGACGTACGACTAACTCTACTGCTGTAGCCTTCACTTTGTAGCACAAGTCGAACTGTTTCGACTTTGTATTAAAATAATATAGACTTCTAATGTCCTTCGTTTAAAAAATTCATTGAATTACATTTCAGGAGCTGAGATATTATCTTTTTTCTGGGGTGTATGTAGACTTTATTGTATCACTGTATATTACAACAAAATTAAAAATCATCACACTAAGAAGAAAACAATATTTATTTGGACTTATATAAAAATTATAACAATAAGAAATACGAAAAGAAATACATATATAAAATAAATATAAAAAAAGGGTCCAAAAGGGCTATAGACCTGAGTCTTCCTGCCCGTGACTTTGAATTCGGTTTGGTTGTACTTGGGTCTTCTCAGATGGGCCTTATTTTTTTAAGAAGTGTGAGTCGTGTTATAGGACAGCGGGTAAATGAAAGGGGAATGATGATGAGATTTTTTAAGGCGTTTTTGGGGAAGTTCGATTGTTTGGAATCTGAGGAATCTTTGTAAGGTCGTAAAGGAGTTCGTTGGAAGGGTTGAAAAGTGGGTTGTGAGGGTGTCTGATGCGGGTGATAATTCTCAGGGCTGCTCTCTCTGCTACTTCCAGATGGTACTGTGATCCTCTCGGCGCTTCAGTCATGATTAATGAGGCATATTCGATAATAGGTCGGCATATTGAGGTGTATATGTGAGTAGCGCATTTGGTGGATATCCCTCGGCCTCTATATGAGAGTCATCACAGGATTTCATCAGGGTGCAAATAAAGCAGTTAATTTAGATCCGAAGTTTTAACTCAAAGTCGCTGATCTCCCAATGATATACAATAGATAAGATGGATTTCAGTGGCAAGCGTGGCTACCTTTCAAAAGGTAGGATATCGAAAAACACTCAGAATTTAAGAGTTTAATTGAGCAAAACCTCAACGTCTTATTATTTTAGTATTATCTGATGAAAATGAATATCTTAACTTAAATAGGTTATTATAGAAAAATTAATCAAGTTAATAAAAAAAATCATAAACCATTCAAGATCTTTATTGATATCAAAGTATAAAATTCAGTCTTGAAACTACAATTTTTTATTTTATGATAAAAAAAAACCGATTTAATCAAAAAATTCTAAATGCATCGTTTCTTAATTAACTTAAATAATCAAATAAGATTTTTTTTCGAATAAATAAATAGTAACTCTTTTAATCTAAACTGTTAACAATTAAAATCATCGGCGGCAGCTTCTTCTTCCGCCTCGTATTCTTCATCGGCGGTAGCTTCCTGGTACTGTTGATATTCAGAGACTAAATCGTTCATGTTCGATTCGGCTTCGGTAAATTCCATTTCATCCATACCTTCGCCTGTGTACCAATGCAAGAAAGCCTTTCTGCGGAACATGGCGGCGAATTGTTCGGATATTCTCTTAAACAATTCCTGAATGGCCGTTGTATTGCCTATGAAAGTAGATGACATTTTTAATCCGACTGGTGGTATGTCACAAACGGCTGTTTTAACATTATTCGGAATCCATTCGACGAAATAGCTGCTGTTTTTATTCTGAACGGCTAACATTTGTTCATCAACCTCTTTCATGGACATTCTTCCTCTAAAAACGGCGGCTACGGTTAAGTATCTTCCGTGACGTGGATCGCAAGCAGCCATCATATTTTTAGCATCAAACATTTGTTGGGTCAATTCTGGTACGGTTAAAGCTCTGTATTGTTGACTTCCCCTCGAGGTTAATGGTGCAAATCCGGGCATAAAGAAATGAAGACGTGGGAATGGAACCATATTAACGGCGAGTTTTCTTAGATCGGCGTTTAATTGTCCTGGGAATCGTAAACATGTGGTTACACCTGACATCGTTAAAGAAACCAAATGATTTAAATCGCCATAACTTGGATTTGGTACTTTAAGAGTTCTAAAACAAATATCGTACAAAGCTTCGTTATCAATACAATAAGTTTCGTCGGTGTTTTCCACCAATTGATGAACGGATAAAGTAGCGTTGTAAGGCTCGACTACTGTATCGGATACTTTCGGACTTGGCATAACCGAATAAGTATTCATAATCCTATCGGGGTATTCTTCCCGAATTTTAGAAATCAATAAAGTTCCCATTCCAGAACCGGTTCCACCACCTAACGAATGAGTTAATTGAAATCCTTGAAGGCAATCGCAATTTTCAGCTTCTTTTCGAACAACATCCAAAACGGCATCGACCAGTTCAGCACCCTCGGTGTAATGACCTTTTGCCCAATTGTTACCAGCACCGGATTGACCAAAAACGAAATTATCCGGTCTAAATAATTTTCCATAGATACCGGAGCGAACCGCATCCATTGTTCCTGGTTCCAAATCCAAAAGAATCGCCCTTGGAACGTATTTTCCTCCATTGCTGTGAGACGCAACTAAAATATATAAAAAAGAAAAAAAATAATGAAAAGAACGGAATTGGATTCTTCGGTCGACTTATTAATACCGTTAAATCTAATAAGCTATATCACAAACGTAAAAAAGGTCCATTCACCTATTACAACCTCATCGTGTCGATAATCACGAACGAATCCGTTCGAGGTGAACTTAGAAAGTTAACCGATCTTTAATAATTAATAATAGAAGTGAAGATAGCGAAACAGGAAGCTAAGAATAATAGATGTATGTTGTATAGAAATTATTCATGCATATAATAATATATGAGTCAAGTATAATATATTGGATACGTTATTTTAATAATAACTACCCACAGTTACTTCTTTGAGTTATTGATAGTCACAATCGGTTGTAAATTTAATTTATAATTTCTACACATCGACTTCGTCTGGCCAATGACTTGTTATTTTCTTTTATGTCGCCACCGAAGCATTTCCGTTCTAAAAATATTTCGGCAAAACCTCGATAACGTAAAAAAATCGAAAACAAAAACTATCCAATTAAACTTAATTAATTAAAGTCGGAAACACGCCTTGTTGCTCACCGTTACACTCCTATTTTAATTAGTACAAAATAAAATAACCATTACGTTTACTTTTCAATCTTCAAGTTTAACTTTAAGAAAGACCTCGATGTTAATCCGAACAACTGTTTACCACATGGAAAATGTTATTTAAAATTGGTCGGACGTAAACGTAATATAACCCGTTAGGTTGTGGTTAAAGTGTCATGAACCCTTAAAACCTCTTATATATAATGACTCATACGGGTTCTGTTTTATTAATTAACTTCATTAAAGCGGCTACTGGTTTCGCGCCTCTTATTATCGAGCATTTAAAACTTGTTATTAAAACTGCTTTTTACCTGTGGCTTCATTATAATATACGTTAATCCTCTCTAATTGTAAATCGCTTTGGCCCAAGTAAATTCCGCTAGGGTCGATACCGTGTTCTTCTGAAATTACTTCCCAAAACTGAAACAAATCAAATTATTAATTATATTAATTTATAAATTAAACTAGAACTAACACTTGTACTATCATTAGGATTAACACATTAAACATTGGAATAGAAATGAAACATTCTTATAAAGCGATTTTTCAAAACGGCTTATTGCATTAAAAAGAGGATACTTTAATTAATAATTGGTGATATTTCCACAAGATTCCTCCAAGAAATTAATTTTATAGCGAATTTTGAAAATTATCGATGAAAATTGCAACATCGAAAATTTTATCAAAACTTCAAATATTGTTTTCTCAAAAACTAAAAGTTATTTTTCAAAACGGGTTGGTTCATTGGAAAGAGGACACTTTTATTAACACTTTGGGAAATTTTCATACTCATATTCCAAGAAATGGATTTTATACGAATTTTTAAAACTTAATCGGCGAAAATTGCAAAATTCGAAAAAATTGTCGATCATTTCAAAAATTTATTTCTCAAGAACTAAAAGTGATTTTTCAAAACGGCTTTTTGCATTAAAAAGAGGATACTTTAATTAATAATTGGTGATATTTCCACAAGGATCCTTCAAGAAATTAATTTTATAGCGAATTTTGAAAATTATCGATGAAAATTGCAACATCGAAAATTTTATCAAAACTTCAAATATTGTTTTCTCAAAAACTAAAAGTTATTTTTCAAAACGGGTTGGTTCATTGGAAAGATGAGAGTCTTATTAACACTTTGGGACATTTTCATACTCATATTCCAAGAAATGGATTTTATACGAATTTTTAAAACTTAATCAGCGAAACTTGCAAAATTCGAAAAAATTGTCGATTATTTCAAAAATTTATTTCTCAAAAACTAAAAGCGATTTTTCAAAACGGCTTTTTGCATCAAAAAGAGGATACTTTAATTAATAATTGGTAATATTTCCATAGGGATCCTTCAAGAAATGAATTTTATAGCGAATTTTGAAAATTATCGATGAAAATTGCAACATCGAAAATTTTATCAAAACTTCAAATATTGTTTTCTCAAAAACTAAAAGTTATTTTTCAAAACGGGTTGGTTCATTGGAAAGAGGACACTTTTATTAACACTTTGAGAAATTTTCATACTCATATTCCAAGAAGTGGATTTTATACGAATTTTTAAAACTTAATCGGCGAAATTTACAAAATTCGAAAAAATTGTCAATTATTTCAAAAATGTTTTTCTCAAAAACTAAAAGCGATTTTTCTAAACGGCTTATTGCACTAAAAAGAGGATACTTTAATTAATAATTGGTGATATTTCCACAAGGATACTTCAAGAAATTAATTTTATAGCGAATTTTGAAAATTATTGATGAAAATTGCAACATCGAAAATTTTATCAAAACTTCAAATATGGTTTTCTCAAAAACTAAAAGTTATTTTTCAAAACCGGTTGGTTCATTGGAAAGAGGACACTCTTATTAACACTTTGAGAAATTTTCATACTCATATTCCAAGAAGTGGATTTTATACGAATTTTTAAAACTTAATCGGCGAAATTTACAAAATTCGAAAAAATTGTCGATTATTTCAAAAATTTATTTCTGAAAATTTAAATACGATTTTTCAAAACGGCTTATTGCATTAAAAAGAGGATACTTTAATTAATAATTGGTGATATTTCCACAAGGATCCTTCAAGAAATTAATTTTATAGCGAATTTTGAAAATTATCGATGAAAATTGCAACATCGAAAATTTTATCAAAACTTCAAATATTGTTTTCTCAAAAACTAAAAGTTATTTTTCAAAACGGGTTGGTTCATTGGAAAGAGGACACTTTTATTAACACTTTGGGAAATTTTCATACTCATATTCCAAGAAATGGATTTTATACGACCTAGAACTGGACACACGGCTCGTATTATATATTTGTCAAAAACATGCATTTTCTACTTTCTGATATCTTTAAAACACTTGAAAAAGCAGCAACATCAATTTTCACCAACCTAGAAAAAAAATTTTGAAATAATCTCTAGAAAAGTGTCAATGAGAATCGGATTTGTTTACTGTTAAGTTTAAAGACCGATATCTCAAAAATTAATTGAGATATTAAGAAACGCTTTTCACCATTAAAAATATTAGAAAATTCTAAACAAATACTCAAAATTTGGTTTTTCTAATTTTTTACATAACCTAGAAAAGAAATTTTGAAATAATCTCTAAAAAAGTGTCAATGAGAATCGGATTTGTTTAATATTAACTTTAAAGACCGATATCTCAAATTAATTGAGATATTAAGAAACGCTTTTCACCATTAAAATTATTAGAAAATTCTAAATATATAATCAAAATTTGGTTTTTCCAATTTTTTACATAACCTAGAAAAGAAACTTTGAAATAACGCCCGAAAAAGTGTCAATGAGAATCGGATTTGTTTAATGTTAACTTTAAGGACTGATATCTCAAAAATTAATTGAGATATTAAGAAACGCTTTTCACCATTAAAATTATTAGAAAATTCTAAAGAAATACTCAAAATTTGGTTTTTCTAATTTTTTGCTTAACTTAGAAAAGAAACTTTGAAATAACGCCTAAAAAAGTGTCAATGAGAATCGGATTTGTTTAATGTTAAGTTTAAAGACCGATATCTCAAAAATTAATTGAGATATTAAGAAACGCTTTTCACCATTAAAATTATTAGAAAATTCTAAACAAATACTCAAAATTTGGTTTTTCTAATTTTTTGCTTAACTTAGAAAAGAAACTTTGAAATAACGCCTAAAAAAGTGTCAATGAGAATCGGATTTGTTTAATGTTAAGTTTAAAGACCGATATCTCAAAAATTAATTGAGATATTAAGAAACGCTTTTCACCATTAAAATTATTAGAAAATTCTAAACAAATACTCAAAATTTGGTTTTTCTAATTTTTTACATAACCTAGAAAAGAAATTTTGAAATAATCTCTAAAAAAGTGTCAATGAGAATCGGATTTGTTTAATGTTAAGTTTAAAGACCGATATCTCAAAAATTAATTGAGATATTAAGAAACGCTTTTCACCATTAAAATTATTAGAAAATTCTAAACAAATACTCAAAATTTGGTTTTTCTAATTTTTTACATAACCTAGAAAAGAAATTTTGAAATAATCTCTAAAAAAGTGTCAATGAGAATCGGATTTGTTTAATGTTAAGTTTAAAGACCGATATCTCAAAAATTAATTGAGATATTAAGAAACGCTTTTCACCATTAAAATTATTAGAAAATTCTAAACAAATACTCAAAATTTGGTTTTTCTAATTTTTTACATAACCTAGAAAAGAAATTTTGAAATAATCTCTAAAAAAGTGTCAATGAGAATCGGATTTGTTTAATGTTAAGTTTAAAGACCGATATCTCAAAAATTAATTGAGATATTAAGAAACGCTTTTCGCCATTAAAATTATTAGAAAATTCTAAATATATAATCAAAGTTTAGTTTTTCCAATTTTTTACTTAACCTAGAAAAGAAATTTTGAAATAATCTCTAAAAAAGTGTCAATGATAATCGGATTTGTTTAATGTTAATAAGATGGATGTTTAATAAGAATTTATTTATGGTACAGTAAATCTCTATTAAATTTGCTTTAAAATGTTTCTTATTTCACCATGATATCTCAATTCGTTTTTGAGATACCATTTTTTAAGTCTACCCAAATTATATTTGGATGTTCGATAAATTTATGATTTAAAATTTTTTTTAATAATAATGTATTTCTTTAATAAACACTTAAGGAAAAGGAAAAATTAATTCTTATCGCTTCACCAACTTCCAATCAAAAGTGATTATAAATAACCGCAATTTTTTTCATAATCTACGTTCTGGAACGAAATGAGCAAAACATTTTATGACTTGTATCCAAAGTCACGGCGAAGTGATTCAATGTTTAACAATTTTTTATTGTATAACAACTTAGTCGATTTCAGTTTTCCTTTGAGTGTGAAACAGGCTTAATAGAATTTCTTTGTGGAGCTATTAATCATCGCAGGATCGATATGTATTATATCATTCGGAACGTTTTCAATTTATTTTCTATACAACATCCAATAACTCATTCTAAAACCGGTGTTTTCGCACAAAAGGGGCTCCATGTATGCTAGGTATACCATTAGCCGTTCTGGTAAATTACCTGTAGTCTCATAATTTATGAATAAGTGCTATCCTCACGGGTCATGCAATGTGAAGATAATCGTCACGTTTCTATCTAATGCAGTGCATTGACCACAAAATGAATAAAAAAACTGTCCACCACAACACATTGCAAAAAATTAAAAGTGGAAAGAAAAAACGCTTTCTATAAACTCAATTGGTACAATTGGTAAACAGACCAAGACCAAATAAAAAAAACACATTTGTTTATCGTTATTTTTAAGTGGTTTTAAAAGACGTTCTTTCAATAGATTTTTTATTTTTAAATAACGAGTTATTTCTTTTTGTAATGAAATTTTATATACCGTGATTGGAAAGTTTATTTACATAAAAAAATTAATTCGAGCAATTACGGCACTCGACCCTCGTAAATTTTGCTTGAATCTTAATCAGGAAATTAAGAGTCCATCATTTTTTCGGGTTAAAAACTTGGAAAGCCGGAGGCAGACGTGATCCATCGTCAACAAGATGCAACACTTAAGTTGTCTTCGACGGATAATTTTAGACCTCCGAAGTTGACGACGATGGGGTCAGGACCAAAATAATTTACTCTATTCGTAACTCATTTCCGCTCTCTGTCTTTTAAGAGACTTGCGGTTTAAAATCTATTTTTACACTCTATCTAAATAAATATACGGTTTTAGTAAATTAACAACCGGATGAAGTGATATCTATATCATTAGATGTTGGTCAAAATTTTATGGTGTGATGGTGACTCTTAAAAAATGATCGAATAAATTTAAACGGAAACAATCGAACGGCAACAATTGAAAATAAGAAAAAAAATGCTTGTCAGTTTTCAAAGACAGTCTGATTAAGAAGAGATCGCTTGCGGGTGAGGCTACACTTGATACGATGTTAATATCTCAATTAGTTTTTGAGAAATCGGTCATTAAAGTTAACATTAAAAGAATTCAATTCACATTGACACTTTTTTAGGGATTATTTCAAAATATCTTTTCTAGGTTAAGTAAAAAATTGGAAAAACCAAATTTTGATTGAGTTTAGAATTTTCTAATAATTTTAATGGTGCAAAGCATTTCTTAATATGTCAATTAGTTTTTGAGAAATCGATTATTAAAGTTAACATTAAAAGAATCCGATTCACATTGTCTCTTTTTTAGGGATTATTTCAAAATATCTTTTCTAGGTTATGTAAAAAAATTGGAAAAACCAAATTTTGACTATACGTTTAGAATTTTCTAATAATTTTAATGGTGAAAAGCGTTTCTTAATATCTCAATTAATTTTTGAGATATCGGTCTTTAAACTTAACATTAAACAAATCCGATTCTCATTGACACTTTTTTAGAGATTATTTCAAAGTTTCTTTTCTAGGTTATGTAAAAAATTGGAAAAACCAAACTTTAATTATATATTTAGAATTTTCTAATAATTTTAATGGTGAAAAGCATTTCTTAATATCTCAATTAATTTTTGAGATATCGTTCTTTAAAGTTAATATTAAACAAATCCGATTCTCATTAACACTTTTTCAGGTGTTATTTCAAAGTTTCTTTTCTAAGTTAAGTAAAAAATTTGAAAAACCAAATTTTGAGTATTTGTTTAGAATTTTCTAATAATTTTAACGGTGAAAAGCGTTTCTTAATATCTCAATTAATTTTTGAGAAATCGGTCTTTAAACTTAACATTAAACAAATTCTATTTTCATTGACACTTTTTTAGAGATTATTTCAGTTTCTTTTTTAGGTTATGTAAACAATTAGAAAAACCAAATTTTGAGTATTTGTTTAGAATTTTCTAATAATTTTAATGGTGAAAAGCGTTTCTTAATATCTCAATTAATTTTTGAGATATCGGTCTTTAAACTTAACATTAAACAAATTCGATTCTCATTGACACTGTTTTAGAGATTATTTCAAAGTTTCTTTTCTAGGTTATGTAAAAAATTAGAGAAACCAAATTTTGAATACTTGTTTAGAATTTTCTAATAATTTTAACGGTGAAAAGCGTTTCTTAATATCTTAATTAATTTTTGAGATATCGGTCTTCAAAGTTAACATTAAACAAATCCGATTCTCATTGACACTTTTTTAGAGATTGTTTCAAAGTTTCTTTTCTAGGTTATGTAAAAAATTGGAGAAACCAAATTTTGAGTATTTGTTTAGAATTTTCTCATAATTTTAATAGTGAAAAGCGTTTTTTAATATCTCAATTAGTTTTTGAGAAATCGGTCTTTAAACTTAACATTAAACAAATCCGATTCTCATTGACACTTTTTTAGAGATTATTTCAAAATTTCTTTTCTAGGTTATCTAAAAAATTAGAAAAACCAAATTTTGAGTATTTCTTTAGAATTTTCTAATAATTTTAATGCTGAAAAGCGTTTCTTAATATCTTAATTAATTTTTGAGATATCGGTCTTTAAACTTAACATTAAACAAATCCGATTCTCATTGACACTTTTTTAGAGATTGTTTCAAAGTTTCTTTTCTAGGTTATGTAAAAAATTGGAAAAACCAAACTTTGATTATATATTTAGAATTTTCTAATAATTTTAATGGTGCAAAGCATTTCTTAATATGTCAATTAGTTTTTGAGAAATCGATTATTAAAGTTAACATTAAAAGAATCCGATTCACATTGTCTCTTTTTTAGGGATTATTTCAAAATATCTTTTCTAGGTTATGTAAAAAAATTGGAAAAACCAAATTTTGACTATATGTTTAAAATTTTCTAATAATTTCAATGGTGAAAAGCGTTTCTTAATATCTCAATTAATTTTTGAGAAATCGATCTTTAAATTTAACATTAAGCAAATCCGATTCTCATTGACACTTTTTTAGAGATTATTTCAAAATTTCTTTTCTAGGTTATGTAAAAAATTAGAGAAACCAAATTTTGAATATTTGTTTAGAATTTTCTAATAATTTTAATGGTGAAAACCGTTTCTTAATATCTCAATTAGTTTTTGAGAATCCTACAAACTTTTTGAAACTCATTTAATTCACAACTAATTACCCACATACATATAAAAATAAGCAATAAATAACGACAATACATGTTCTAGACGACGTTACATTATCTATACAAAACATTTGTGTGATAACGGTGTGTTATTACACCCCATATGTCTTTTTCAGTTCGAGGGAACTTATCGGGGTACGATAAGAATGTCAATGACTCAACTGGAAAATACAATCCTTGATTTTAAAATACGAATTTTAATTATAAAAAGCTGCTCTCAAGCTGACTTAATTAACCAAATATCCTTTAACCTTGATTATAATCTACCGCGGTATTTAATTAAAAACTACTCAAAACTACCTATTATTTTGTGATGTTCAGAAATGAAATTAATTTAATAAATGGATTAAATCAAATTGAAATTTATTAATTTAAGTAGAAAAAGTTTTCTTTAGTGTGCTGATTTGTACAATTACTTTTAATCAAAAGTTATTTTTATAGACTAGACATAAAATTGAAATTTTAAACATTTACTTTATCTGGACAATTTTGTACGGAATTTTTATGTGTAATAATAATGTCGCGTAAATTCAGAGTCATAAAAGTTATTCCACTTTATGTACTTTCTGTTCCTCAAAATTATATTTTTTTTTTAGTTATTTGTCATTCATATTTTAAATTATTTTATCAAATAAAATTGTTATCTAAATTTACCAAATCTTTGAGCAACATTTAAAAATAAATTATTTAATAAAATGTTATTAATTCATAAAAAACTGACCTTAGCTCCAACTTGGTTGCCACATTGGCCAGCTTGCAAATGTACAATTTCCCTCATGTTGCGATCTTGGAGTTGTCTTGTGTGAACGGTTTGGGATCTGGTCGCTTACTGTTCCGACTGAAGTCTTGGTAGCTACTGTTGAACCCGGACGCCTCTGGAAGGATTACTAAAAAGCAGGGGCGCGCCGCCGCCGTTCCTTTAGGTATCCAATTTCGCCACCATCGTCAACTAATTTCGTCCTTAAGCCACAGTCACGTAAAGTCGAAATCTAAACCCGTTTTAAGCCCAAACTGATAGCACACGCCGTCGTAGATAATAGGAGAATTCTCAAAATTCTACTTGAAATGGGCGGAGCACTAAATATGTTTTTAGACATTACAGCGGACGTGAGTCAAAATTTAAAAATTAACTTAATTTTTATTATTTCGGTGCATCATCACTTAAGATATTTGAAAATTTTCGATTAAATTAATTTACTTTTGGCGACAGAGGAAGAGAAAGGTTTAAAAGATAATTTAATCAGGTGAAAATGAATAATTAAAGATTTAAATATAAATGAAGAGATTTCTTCTCCGGTAAGAAAAGCTGACAAAATTTGCAATTTTTAAGAGGCCTTGCAAAACAACTTTTTTGCTTGGTTACAGTAAAATGGGTGAATTTTATGTAGGCGGAAGCTTACTCATGTATCTCCGCTGGATATCTGTCGATGAAAAATGTAGCTGTCTGCAATATCTTGCAGATACCTCCCGTGGCCTGGTTTAATTAATTAAGTGAACCGATTATGGTTCGTTGTGATTGATTCTACAATCAAAATTATTTTTATTTTTTTAAATTATTTATATACTCAATTTGTCTCAATTTTTAACAGATAGTGTCTCAAAATTGTTCTTTCTGTATGAATTTGATTAGAACTAACACTAGACCGAGAACTAGAAACATTCGGATTTAGNGATTGATTCTACAATCAAAATTATTTTTATTTTTTTAAATTATTTATATACTCAATTTGTCTCAATTTTTAACAGATAGTGTCTCAAAATTGTTCTTTCTGTATGAATTTGATTAGAACTAACACTAGACCGAGAACTAGAAACATTCCGATTTCGTCTCTCAAGACTGATAATCCCGATTGATTCTAGTTCTAGGTCTAGTATTAGTTCAATAAAAATATACAACATAGTAATATCTTATGCTAACTAGCGCTACCTATCACTGCCACTAGAACTAACACTAGACCAAGAACTAGAAACATTCGGATTTAGCCGTACATCTCTTAAGACGGCTAAACCCGAATGTTTCTAGTTCTAGGTCTTGTGTTAGTTCTAGTGATAGTGCTAGTGTAAAAGTAGAACTAACCCTAGACCTAGAACTAGAATCATTTGGGTTTAGCCGCACGTCTCTCAAGACGGCTAAACCCGAATGATTCTAGTTCAAGGTCTTGTGTTAGTTCTAGTGATAGTGTTAGTGTAAAACTAAAACTAACACTAGCACTAGACCGAGAACTAGAATCATTCGGATTTAGCCGCACGTCTCTCAAGACGGCTAAACCCGAATGATTCTAGTTCTAGGTATAGTGTTAGTTATAGTGATTGTGCTAGTGTAAAACTAGAACTAACACTAGACCTAGAACTAGAATCATTCGGATTTAGCCGCACGTCTCTTAAGACGGCTAAACCCGAATGATTCTAGTTCTAG